TAATATTGTTTTAAATACTTTGATATCGAATTGTGTATTTGAAAAGAGGCTGATTTTTTTATTTGAACTGGGTTTCAGTCTTGCTAGCGATAAATGTTGCTTGATAGGCATATGCAGGCAAATATGATTGGTGATATGAGGAAGTAAGTTACAGAGGTAAATATATACATGCTTGTCTGTCTGAATTATCTCACAAAACACGCTAAGTTTTTAGTGGTATCCTTGTAGAGCTTAATTAAACTTCGGTATTCAGTGTAACCACAGTTTTGCTGTTATTCTAAACTATTTTCGCTCACGCATCAATAATAAACATGAAAATCCCTGTCGTAGTCTGAGATTAGTCTTTTTTTGTTGTATTGCGTAAATTTTGGGCGGAGAAAAAGATTTTCATGATTTCATATGGAATAGTTTTTCTTAGTAGTATTCAATGTTACGTAGATCAATGACTCGTTCTACTGCAATACTGTCTGCTGTTCTACTTGTTTTCGAATAGATATGTACATATTTGCATGTATAGGTAATTGAAAATACCGAAAAATTGTTTCTTTCTTAAGGCATGATATGCGATAACAGTTGTATTCAACGTCATACATATGTATATACGTTCACATATAGGTAAACATTTTACTGAAGTTTTGACATTTGAGGGTTGGTAACAATAAAGAATACTCCGGTATCCAGTTTTCATAGTGATTGTAATTGAATTCACAGTTGAATGATAAGTAATTAGGCAGTACCCACACAAAAGCGTCTTCTCACCGACATTTCGAACTGGTGTGAACACAGTATATATAGAGTGTTGAAACTGGCTTTAGGTTCATTTGTTAACTGAATTGATACGGATTACTACAGTGCGCATGAGAATATTTACTAATGTGTTAAAATGGTTGAACTATATTGTGATATGACTGCTTGTGTGGGATTTGTCTTCGAAGTAATGAAACGTAATGACAACAGCGTATTCTGCACAATAAGTTTACGCAGTATGCATAATACCTACTGTTCATCCAGGAGTTTCAAGTAAAGTAGCTACCTCCAGTGCACCATGTGACGCCGTGATGTTAGATCTGAACTCAGCAACAGTTTAAAACCAATTTTAAAAAATACACATGGGTAAATTTGGCGACTTAAGGATATAAATGTATGGTTGCAACAACAAGAACCAAAGAAAATAAGATGCAAATTGTCTCGGATGGAAATTCAGGTAGCCCAGAGATTCAAGCAGGCCGCCAATATGATTCGATGTACTCGTCTAGCATGACGGGGTCTAATTAAAATTCGTCGATTAATTATGTTAACTTATCCCTTAGATGAAAGGATGGCATGCATTAGTGGTTCAGTAGTGAAATGTCAATGGATACCACAGCACTTTTTGGTTCTGTTCCCAGCTGACACACTATGAAATCTCGTCAAATTTACTAGTCAGCAGCAGGCCTGAGAAAGAGAGACAATTAGGTGTGTTGCTAGCGATCCTGTCCGAGAAAATTAACACCACAGTTACTGAAACCTCAGAGGTTGAAGTCTTATATTCTGCTGGAAACGCATGACTCTGCCACCCTCTGTTGTGCGCTTCGATTCTGATTTTACATATTATTCGTTAACTGTCTGATAGTACTGAAATTTTAAGTCTGTGTTTACTTTTACTCATCTGGAAATAGTGAAAAGACTCATGTTATTGCCTCAAAGACGAAGTGAGCCTTTCATTGCTGAGTTAAGAAAGTCTTCATTGGGATATTCACGTCACGAATAGCTGACTAGATACTTGTCAGATACTTGGCACTATTTTTAGTCAGCCTTCAGAAAGAGATGATGTCAAATTAGAACTATCGACAGATATTAGGTCCTACAGGGAAGGGTTTATTTAAGGAATGCAGAGGAGATCTCATCAAAATGTGTTATGTATTTTCAATATATTTATGAAGTTGAAGTTATGAAGAATATGATAACTTAATATGATTGGACACTAACCAGTGCCATGTGTCTACTCCTTTGTTTGGCGCAGACTGAATTCTATCAGTCAAGTTTGTCACTTGGTCATCATGCTACGTGGCTTGCCATCACGGTGCACTCAGGATTATTGTTATTAGATGTTTGGAGCCAATTGGTAGGAAGACTTGAACCTAGGTTTCGACTTTGTTGGCACTTACCAGTCATCAGGGAGCATCTGAAGTCTTGAAGGAACTCATGTGCCTTCTAAAATTCAAATCCGTGTCATCCAGTGAGAACTGAAGTCAGAGACGTTACCACTGATCTATCCGGGCTCCCGATTGACTTCCTGTATGACTGTATCAGATACTTTTGATTGGACAGTAGTAACAAGTGTCATGTGTCTAGTCGTTTGTTTACTGTAGAATGTCAACAAATGATGCATAGGATATGTGATGAGTAATTGGCTGTAACAAGGTGTTAGCTGTTTGGTCAATTGTTTTAATTATAACCGAAGTAATTTAAAACGAATATTGATTGAGTAACGCCTGATTAAACTGTTTTTGCCAGATGGATCAGCAATCATATTATATTACCCTTAGGTTATTAACTGAGTGAATTGGTAGCACAGTGGTAGAATTTTCGCCGACCACGCAAGTGGGTGGAGTTTCGAGCCCCGGCAGACTCACTTCTTTATCTCGCTAAGCCAGTAATAAGACTGGTGAAAAGCGAAGGTTGATCATGAGGCTAGTAACCCTATCCTTTAAAAATAAACATCACTGCTACCAAAACGTCAAGCTAGATGCTTGAAGCCCTATATTCCACTGGGAACGTACAGGAATAAAATCAATAGTAGATAAAATAATCATTTAACTGAAAGTTTCCGCAGTATCTTTAGTAATGAAAGATATCAGGACACTTATTTTGACATTTAGTAAGTCATATTATTTTGGGGTCTCACATTACTCTACATGAAATTCTGATCTAAGAAATTATAATTCGACGCATTGAGGCGATCGGGTTGAGTATTAGAGTCCTTTTGACAGAAACATTCATTACTAAAGGCATTAATATGACTGAAACTCTTAAAGGCCTGTCTGTACAAACTTTTTGTGAGAAACAGTTTTCCTTATGAGGCTTAGATTCCTATTTGTCAGCCAACAATCGGTTGGTGGATGTGTATCCAAGACATTTTCTTCTTCACTGGACCTAGTTACATAGGCAGCACAAAGCATTCACCTTCCTAAAAGCATTCAAGGATGTGCATTTCATCCTATTTGAGGTTTGTCAGTTCAATACACCTGCATTCTCAATGACTGACGATATTCTCCCCGAGACTCAAACAGTCTACCCATCATTTCAAATGCAGGGTTCGAACTTCGGCGAGAACGGATCACTCATGGGGAATGCAGGCACATCCAGTTGACAAATTCAAAATAAGACTGCCATCAAGCAAAATAACTTCACGTTAACTATTAGACATAATCGAAGTATTAGTACTAGTAGCTGACATGTCAACAGTCACTGGACATTTCACTCCAAAGCAATCAATCAACAGGAAAATACAAATTAACCTAAGAAAAAAAGACCATCAACAAATAAAACACCTTCATTCGTCTAATTAATACTTAAATAATTATACTACTTATATTTATTTTTTGCAGTTATTATTCTCATTGGTTAAAAATTGTTATCACAGCCACAAATGATTGGTTTAAAGTTTTATCCAATGAAAATTCATCCGTGTCAAGTTGATGACAGCTTATGCATTTTTTTTTTCCAGGCCGGTTGACAGTTTAATTTAACCGCTTTTCCGCTAATGAATATTTCATAAATATATATATTAAATACTAAGTAGAAACAAATTACCTGCCTGCATTCTTTCTTTCATGTGGATTATTTTCCTTGACACAGAGAAATGAGAACAATCAGAACTATGTTCGACATAATTATTACCAGTACACATTATGACATCATGTTATATAAATAGTGATTCATTCTCATTGAAGGTATGCTTAATATCTGTCTATCTGAATGGAGTTCATATCACATCAATTATCATATCCACTTAGTCCTTATCGTCTGCTGTATAAATCTGATTGAATCACGAACAATTCGTTATCAAATTGATGAAGAACTTAAAATCAATACACCGATTGGGAATTTGCTGAGTAATATACAAACTGGAGTACAAAATTTACGTTTTATAAAAATATCTAATACAGATGACTCTTCAGCATTATTTTCTGTGGACCAGTTCTCTGGTGATATAACAATTGCTCATAGATTAGATAGAGAACATTTATGCAGCCAGAGTGATCGAGTAAACAAAGCTGACACTTATGAGAATCTGGTCACTGATTGGACATCGAACGTTATTACAACCGTGCAAAGTACAAAATGTGAATTATATTTTAGTGTGAATTGTTTAAATGTAACACCGATTAAAAATCTTGGGAATCAGAATAAAAGTAAAACACCTGTAAGTAATAAACTGGTAGCTATTTTCGATGTTGTCGTTGAACTCAGGGATATTAATGATAACGGATGTAAATTTATGCCATCAAGTGAACAGATCGTGAGAATACGTGAAGATTCACCTATTCGTGAAACACGACTACCACTGAATACCCCATATGATCCAGACGATTCAATCTTAGGAAATACTGTTAAATCTGATCTTGTATGGATCCGTGATCAGCCTAAGAAGCTATCTCCGTTGGACAATCGGGATATCAATGCCACATTCAAACTACGCAGTCTTTCATCCTCATATAATGAGAATATTAAACTGGAGTTGGAATTGATTAGTGAGTTAGATTATGAAAGTCGGCGAAATTATACATTTGAAATCGTCGCTGATGATGGATTTCTATCAGGTGGACATCAGTGTTACCTAAATGTGACTGTACTCGTCGAAGACTGTAATGATCATTCGCCAGTGTTCGATCAGTCCACGTATGTCGCGAATGTAAGCGAAGACACAATCATTGGTCAGTCGATTGTAAAGGTTGTGGCGAATGATGCAGACGACGGGGAAAATGGGAGAGTTCTGTACAGCCTTGATTCGTATACGGATAATACTGATGACAGCAATCTTTTCTATATTCACGGGGATACCGGTGAAATTAGGCTTCAGCGGCGTTTAAATCATCGACTGAAGCCTCAACATGTATTGAAAGTATTTGCTAAGAATCCTGATCATACTCTATCAAGAAATATGAAATCTCAACAAACTCAATCCAAGTCATCTACAGCTCAGGTTATTGTCAATGTGATTGACACAAATGATCACTTTCCACGGATTCGAATTTTGTCGCCTACAGGTTCAAAAACTCTTGAAATAATAGAAGAATCTCCGCCTGGTCAAGATATTGGCATTCTAGATGTTTCAGATGGTGATACAGGGAAGAATGCTGAAGTGAACTGTAACCTTACAAATCAAACAATTATAGGTGTTCTCAGTTTAATTCCAATGAATAATGAAATCATTGGGAAAGAAATGGCACTTGCCAATCGAAAGTATAAGATAACTCTAGAGAAACGTATAGACAGAGAAGAATATCCCTCTATAGAAGTTACCATTTTATGTCAAGATTCTGGAATACCACGTTTAACAAGTACACTAACACAAAGCATAAAAATAATCGATGTAAATGATCATGATCCGATTGCTGAACAAAATGTATACATGATTGAGGTGACTGAAGATTCAGATCCGCAAAGAAGTAAAGATAACTTTGAATTGATCACTATTCATGCCACAGATAAAGATGAAGGTCAAAATGCAAAGTTACACTTCGCTTTAGATGAAGAGACACCTGTTCACCTATTGAATGTTGTCACAGTCGACTCGAATTCAGGTGTATTGCGGACACTAGGGAATTTAGATCGTGAACAGTTGAATGCATTTTCTGTGACAGTTGTCTGCGCTGATCATGGGGAACCACAAAGAATGACTAAAGTATTTATCAATGTACGCGTTCTAGACTACAATGATAATTCACCGGCATTTTCTCAACCGTATTTTGAATTTCTCTTGAAGGAAAATAATCCCGTCGGTCAGCTGATAGGTTATTTTGAAGTCACAGATAAAGATATCGGTGAAAATGCTGAACTAGAGATCTATATTGAAGAAAATCTTGAACGATCACAGGTCCATCTGACCGCGTTGAACAATAATTTGAAACTGTCAAGTGATGTAAAACAGCTGAGATTTAACTCGGGTGGTTTAGTCTCTTCGTCAGGGATAAGGCAAAGAAAATACACGGATTATAGTTCCAAGTTTAAGCTAAGCTATCAGAAACGTCCCAGGACGAATATTTCCTCTTCGGTTAGTGGACCTACACTCTATGATATCCAGTTGTATGCAGAGTCTATAATAGATCGTGAAAGTTTATTTCTAAGGGATGCTGCTGTCTTTCCGCCTGATATATTACCAAATTACGAACCTTTTGATTCTAGTACTACTACTACTACAACTACTCATAATAATAATAATCTTTATAAGTATACTGAACTATCGAAAGTGTCAAGTCAGACAAACTATTCTACAATAACACCAACTATTTTTTTATTAATACGCGCCCAGGATAAAGGCATTCCAAAATTATCTGAACATGTAACAATACGTGTACATATTTTAGATGACAATGACAATTCACCTCGGTTTTTATATCCTGATTCGTATAGTATCAATAAAACTAAAGTTTACTTATCTTATAAAGAACCAGTTGATTATGCTTTTACACAAGTAAGTCCAGTTTCGTATTCTTTTATTGTTGTTTTTGTTTTCTAATATTCGATTGTTCAATTTTGTTCTGTGTTGTTTTAAGTAATCCTTAAGTTTGTGATGTGTTAAACTTGTTTTTAAGTTTTGGGTATAAGATATAAAAGTGTTTCGGTTGTCGTTAGTACCATATGTCTTTCACTAATGTAGTGAAAACTAACCGTTGATACAGGTTTAGAACAACACATTTAAGCGAACAATATTGTTGTCAATTAGATCTCATCAGGCTTAACTCTAATATATATAAGCTTACAAATAAAATTCAAATATAAACCAATCATGGTGTTTTGTCTATAGGATAATACGATGGTGAATATAAATTGTGCAATTAGTCATAATAGTAGTAATGATAATAATAATTATAGTAATAATAGAAATGGTCTTATCAATAATAAGGATGAAAAAGTGAGGCAATCGGTGATAACACGAATAATGAAAAACAGCATGATTAAACAAACAACTGTTCAGGTGGAAGTAGTCGATAAAGGCTAGTAAAAACAAATGAACCGATTAAGTAATGTTAGATTGTAAGGGAAGGAAATGAAACACGTTTATAATGAAGATAAGATTAAGGGATGATAAGAAAGGGGATGAAAATACAAACAAAGGGTGGTGTAGAAGTTATTAGTTGGTTACGTCTTAATAGGCCAAGGAAGGGATAAAGGCTGTACGAACTTTTTTTAGATACATAATTTAGGTTTAACAGTTCGAATACCTATTGCCTCAGCTGTGTGTAGTAGACGAATACGAAGTCTATTGGAAAGATTCGGTGGGATACGATGAATCACTTTGAAGGCTCTCGTTTTCTCGATTACATGACCACTATCAATTAAGTGTGACAAAATTGAGCTACGGATTGTTTTTGTCTGTCCTTTGCCAAATCACGATGGGAGATGTTCACTAACTCGTTGGCTAAGCTGTCTAGTAGTACGCCCAATATGACTGTCACCGCAGGTGCAGTTGAATTGATAAATACACATAGATGTGGCAAAACTATCAAGCTTATCCTTCGTTTGCGTCCCAATCATTCGTCGGCTAGAGAATGACAAACATAGGTGTGCTGCATAAAATGTTCTTCGTATACTCCTTGAAAGTCTCTGGAATAGAATCTCACTTGATAAGTCACCATTAAATTGTAACTTAATAAATAGAGGTTTCTTACGTGCAGTCAGAGTCTCCGGTTTTTTCTCCGATGTTTTCATATGTTTCTTTATGAAGCTACTCGGATAGCCCATCTCCATCAAGGAATCATGAATATATTCAAATTCCTTTTGTACAAGGTCATCCGTACATATCTTTCTTGCTCTACTCGCAAGACATCTTACAACGTTCCTTTTATATTTAATGGGCACGTAACTAAGGAAGTGTGTGTATTGCCCTGTGAAAGTGCTTTTTCTATACACGCTTCTCCCAAGTGACCCATCTTCTGTCTTATTTAGCAAGACATCCAGAAAATGTAGTTTATTGTCCTGCTCCTCTTCACAAGTAAAGGTAAGCGAAGGGTGGATGTTGTTGAATTTCAGCAACAATTCGTCTATATTAACATTCTCGTCAGCTAAGATAAATGTATCATCGACATATCGATAATACATATCAAACTGCTTGATGATGTCCTTCAATTTCCCGTTTTCAAGTTTTGCGAGAAAGAAGTCAGCTAACATTGGGCCTAATGGTGAACCCATAGCTATTCCATCTACTTGTCGATACAGGTTTAGACTGATCACTTTGTGGAATTTTAGAAAGATCTAAAGTGTCTTTATGTGGTTGTGTTCTCTGAGCTAGGTGACTTTTATTTGTAAGGTCTCCATTATCCTCAGTCTAGACAACGTGCTCCGCGCTAAATTCAATATGAAGTCTGGAAATCTGCTAATCAACTCCACTGTATCCTCGTTCATTTGAGAGCGTTGTTTTCATTCATGTCACCGCCAGCATCCTAGGTGAACATTTCTTCTCCTTTTCGATACTTGTCACTTGAATGTCTTTGCGTCCTCATAGAGTATTAGTGTTCTCAAAGGGTAAAGTTGAAGCGATGCGTGCTAGGTTTTATTTGAAAAGTGTAAATCTTAACCTGGATAACTCTGAGAGATCATTATTTATTTTTTTATATTTTTGATTATAGCTTGATTCCCCACCATATTTTTAGTACAGATATGGGATTTTCAGCATGTGATATCGGTAGCCCAATTTTTTTTTGCCGGACAACTACAGATATCAGGTGTGTGTCAGTAGGGGATCGAACCCCGGACCATGTGCATGGTCGGCGAGAGTCATAACCACTATGCCACCGACACACAGTCTATGCCAGGAGTCTGTGTCCTTAAAGATGGGACATTTGGGCCCAATAAAGCCAATCATTGGCGCTTTCCAAAATAGTAACGTCAAGGAATAACAAATAACAGTTATGCCCATTTTACTCGTCTAAATTTAATGAGTAATGTTGTCTTTTGAAAACTTTCACGTGTAAGTACTTGGCCGTTATTGAGAAGTTTTAATTATTAATTTATAAATGAGGGTCAAATCTTTTTATGCAGGCCAAATATCAAGAGTGAGGAATTAGCCCCAAATTATGACATTGTACTTATTAGGCAAAAGAAACGATTTTTAATCAGTAGTTTGAATCAGCAAAGTACCCGTTAGTTATAAGTTAATTAGATGATGATTAGTCATCCTAAGAATAATAAAAGCCAGTGACTCATGCAAAAATAAAATGATGTGAAAAAGTGATAAGGAAGAAGAACAAGAGAAATATCTAATTATGCACATTAGAAAACTGAATGCCTTGCCATTTCTATTAATTTGAGATATTCTGTTGACTGATTGGACCGACGTCCTCGGCCTGAGATCGACTCCTGGTTGACTCCTTGTGCAAATGATTCGACGACGTCTGATCATCATTAAACGTGAAGTAAACTGGTGAACGGCGACTAGCAGTAGATTCCAGGATATGATTTATCAGCTGGATGTACCTGCTCTGGAGTACTGGGTTCAAGGCCCAGTGGGAAAACCAATAGTCACTGGGGAACGCCGTTACACCCAGCTGGCGAGTCCCGAATAGGATGAAATCTACAACCTGGATTCCACTGCTAGCTGGTTGTTAGATTGTTAAAAGTCTGTAATGTTTCAAAGGCAGCAATTTCAGTTCATACATGATTTCAAGTATTTCAGCAGTTTACTTAAAAAGAAACTTTATCTTGCATATAATTGGAAAACTTAGTAATTATCTTGAAAAAAACAACAGAAATGAATTGAAAGTAGGCTGATACTTACAGTGGTTTATAAAGAACTAATTGTGGGTTAAAAGGCCGATGGAATAGTTACTGTTCCATTCCTTTCACTAAAAAGTCACTACTTCAACTGGGTGATTGACTTTCAACTATTGGAACACAAAAAGAAAACGATGCTCTACCTTTCAAGATTCCGGAGAGTATTTCAGTGTCACTGACCATCATGCAACAGGTGTGGTTAGTTGAAGAGCATATAATGACCCTCAGTGATTCCGACCGAGCGATGGCCTGCATTGCGTGCATTGTCGTTCGACTGCCTCTTAAATGTATGCCCTATCCAACCCCATCTTTCCCCGCATATTTTTTGAGCGATCGGCTCTCGCTTGTTGGTTTGTTCCCATAGTTTCTTTTTGCTTATTCTTTCTGGTAATTCAACCTTCAGTATGGAGCCAGCCAGCGAAGTGATGAGCTGTTGATGAAACTCTATAGCCTGTTGGAAATCCTTTCCGTGACAAGCAGTTCAAGTTTCTGACCCGTATAGAAGAACTGGCTGACTTCATATTTGTGTCGAAGATGCGAATCTTGTTTTTTATGCTGACTGAGTGTAGAAGATTTCCAAACTGGTTTCCAGTTGATGAAGGCATATCTTGCCTTTCCTATTCTGGCTTTTGTATCTCTTCATCCGTTCTAACTGCCTGTGGTTGAAACTGTGCTTCATAGATATGTGAAGGAAGTAACTTCTGTCCAATCTTCCCATTTGATGGTGATTGGTGCTGGTTGCTGTTGGTTGGTTATCTTCATCACTTCCGTATTCACTATATTTACTTGAAGACCTGTCTTTACCGCCTGCCTCTTCAGTCAGCTTGTTGGTTTTCGCCTGCCTGCATTTATCCGAGTTTGTGAGACATTAGACATATATCATCTACAAAATCCAGATCTTCTTTAGTCTTCGTATCGGTCGTCCAGTGTGATCCTAACTCCCCACCCCCAACAGTCCGTTTCATAATCATCGTTGGTGATAATAGGCGGTCAGTCAACTTTTCCTACTCCTGTATTCACTTCAAACGCCTCGCTAAGTTTTCCGTTTTGGATCACCTGACCCATGGCATTAAAGCTGTAGAGTGACACAGCTATTCTTTATTCAATGAAGCTTTGGAAACCTAAATAATAGGTAGCCCTATTTTATCTAAAACATTGTGTTTATAGGCGATTAACTGACTATAAACAGTGCAGTTACTTAATTAGTTACGGTAAACATCCGAATGCAGGATGTCTGCTATTTACTTCTTGTAATATTAATGGAAGACATACAACTGCATTTGAACACCTGAACTATTGCAGTTGCCTCAGTGACATACTTCTGATACTTTTAAAGGTCCTGCTGAAGGTGATGTGAGCGTTAAAATTAGGCATCAGTCAGCCGAATTCGATGTGACTCTCAGGAGTTAGTGTTACTCATCTTTCAAATAATAATTATTTCTACTCTGATTATCAGTAAACAAAAATGCTTCTGTATTATTTTGTTGTTTGAGCTGAGTGGTCATAAAGGTCCTCCTGAGCTGTGGTTGTCCGGCATTATTTTTTGACAAAAAAGTACCGGAGGATTGATTCTATGAAGAAAATAAGTAGTGCACTGATAACTGTCAGCGACAAAACGGTAGGACAACAATTTTCTGAGACTTTTGATATTTTGGTGGTATGCAACTATCTAACAATCTTATTATTATTATTGTTCCCTTG